ATGACAAAGAGCTCATTATTTACTCCAGAACATTAGCACAATGTCTTGTTTCACTTATTAAAATCCTCCAATGGATGGGAAACAAATATTTATAATAATTAGGTAGATCTTTGCACTCATTTCTCTGCTCCAAAGCTGCTCCAGTCCTAAAAGGCTGGTGTCTTTCCAAGAGTCATCAAAAGATTTACAGTATAGATGGTGTCAGATTAAAAAGAAAGTTGTAGCTTTATTCGTCATTCAGCTGACATGGATTAAGGCAATTTACTTCTTAGATGCTAATTGTTCCCTTTCAACAATGGAGGTTGAATCTTCAGGGAGGAGTGTTGTTGCTTTATTACAGGTAGCTGATGAGTAAATAATCCACATTCATCATCCATTTCAGCATCTGTACACAGAGACTTCCAACCCACCCTGATGTGTAGTCCCTATCATGGTTTTGATCCACTGGCTTGAAGAGCAGAGCATTTTGTTTTGCTGAGCTGAAAAGCACTCTCAGAGTTTCAAACATGGAGTGGGGTTGTCCTCAAATCCAGGATTGATTTCTTTTAGCATTTAAAAAAAATTAATTTTTTTGCTCCTCCCCATCCTTTGGGGTTTGGAAGGACCTGGCTGGGGCAACACTTAGGACTCGAGCCCATCCTTATGTACCTGTCAGTGGGCTGAAGTTGGCCTGGGTGGCTAAGCTTCCTCAGGAGAGCAGCCTGCAGGCTAGGGGTGGACCCACATCTCTGAGGGGACCTTTCCTGGCTCAACTGGCCACCCCCTTCTTCCAGACCAGAGAAGGTCTTGCCCTGGGTCCCAGTAGACCTCACCACACTCCCTGGTGCCCTCTGCAGCCACTTTGGAGAGGTGCTTGCTTTTCCCTCCCAAGAAAGGGTATGCCTTGTAGTGTTTATTATATTTTTTAATTGAAGTATAGGCAGTTAACAGTGTGTCATTTCTGGTGTACAGTATAATGTCCCAGTCATGCATATATACATATGCATGTATATATAGGTATATTCATTTTCATATTCTTTTTCATTAAAGGTTATTACAAGATATTGACTATAGTTCCCTGTGCTATATAGAAGCAATTTTTTAAAATCTATTTTTATATATAGTGGTTAACATTTTTAAATCTCAGACTCCCAAATTTGTCCCTTCCCACCTCCTTTACCCGGTAACCATAAGATTGTTTACTATGTTTGCAAGTCTGTTTCTGTTTCGTAGATGAGCTCATTAGTGTCCTCTTTCTTTTGTTTCTTTCTTTTTCTAGACTTCATATATGAGTGATATCATATGGTATTTTTCTTTCTCTTTCTGGCTTACTTTACTTGGAATGACGATCCCCAGATCCATCCATGTTGCTTCACCTGCCATTATTTTATTCTTTTCTTTTATCACTGAGTAATATTCCATTGTATAATATACCACAACTTCTTTATTCAGTCATCTGTCATTGGACATTTAGGCTGCTTCCATTTCTTGGCTATTGTATATAGTGCTATATTTTTTATGTATCACTATCAGTGCTTTGGTTTCTGTAAATTTATTTAGTTTCAGACATTATTTGTAATAGCTGGTAAAAACTGGACCCCATCTCACCACTGTCTCATCACAATATTCCTCTCCTGGTGAGGGTGTGT